AGTTGAGTGAGAAAAGTCAATCTCCAGATGAGCAATGGTGGCTCATGCCTATAGTCCTAGCTACTCAGGTGTCTGAGATCTGAGGATTGCAGTTCAAAGCCAGCCCAGGCAGGAGTCTCTGAAACTCCTATCTATATTTAACCAGAAAAGAAGCCAGAAGTGGACGTGGTGCTTAAGTGGTAATGCACAAAAGCTCAAGGATCCACTCCACAACAAGAGATTCAGAAATGCCAATACATACCACTGAGTATCTTATGAAAATCAGTTCCAGTATATCTGAACTAATGTTCCAGCTGATTTTTCATATGTCACAGCAGTGTATACCTGAGAGCTGAGGTCAGTCCTAAATGCCATTTTTACTTTTAGGCCTGGCAGTTCCAATGGAATCATATTGTCAAGTACAGCTGGGATTTTCCCAGAAAATCAACTTTCCTACTAAGCTGTCTTTCAAAGAGTCACGATGTGGTAAAAAGAAGGGTGTTGGTCTCAAACAGTGTTTGGTTATAGATAAAGATCCATCTATAACTAGAATTTCATTAACTGTATAAGCGTTTGGGTAGTTTAATGTACTGAAATCTGACTGCTTCCACTCTAACAACTATTATGAAATAAGTAATGTATATCGTGGAGCTCCAGAAGGGCTAGCCTTACAGTGTCTGCCTAAGAAGACTAAACATGTGGCAAGGAAACCAACCATGAATCAATGAAATTAAAATCATACACTATTTCAAATTCTAGCTAAAATGCTTATCTAGGTAATTATGTCTTGAAAAGAAAAGAAAAAAACTTTCTTCATTAAATGTTCAGCTTATTGATCCTTTTTTTCTATCATAAATGTCTTAAGTAGATGTAGATGTAGAAAATACACTTTCTGGTAAAAGTACATACCATCTGATATATCTAATAAATTGTATATTAGCTACTAATTCCTAGTAGCAGTAATAATTCACAGCTTATAACATATGATGATATATTTCTTTTTTCAGACCTTTTTAGCTTTTAAACAAGAAGAACTCAGCTTTCATTTTGGAGAGAATATTTTTAGAATTACTTTTCTACCTATTTTCCTTAAAGTAATAGGAAAGATAAAATTTCATATTGTATAGAAGGAGCAATGTACATCAGCAGATCACAAGTTAGGGCCAGACAGTGTCTGCCTATAGACTAGGTCTATATTTGATTATCTTGATAATATTTCATAGGAAATGTCCAAATTAGCACATTGTTTGTAATTGCTTTTTACTGTTGACAGAAGTAGCCCTCCTGCATGACAGCAACCTACATTACATATAGTTAATAGAGAACATAGTTATCTATTATATATATATATATATATATTTATAAAATGTGTTAATTATAATACACACAAAATCAAAGGGCAAAGGAGAGGAACAGACTAATTTCAGGCTAATATGTAATTTCTGACACTAAACAAAATGCTTCAGATAGGTATCACTTTTTCCCTGTTAAAAGAACATATCCAAAACCAGATAAATTTCCCTAAATCAGGACAGGAATCTTATCACAATTAGGGAAATGTCTATGCAATATAGATCAGTGGGATGTTCATTGAGTTATATCTGATCTACATAAGGATATCAAATAAGCAAAAATCATTTTACCTTTATTATCCCTTGGGAATTTTTTGATGGTTGGTCCATTATCCTGATCAACAATAACTTCCTCTCTGTTGCTAGGCATCATAACTATAAATAAGAGATTTAACTGAGTAATTTTCTATACAAAACAATATTCTACTAATATGGATTTTTATATACTTCAATTATAGTAAAAGTATCTGTGCTTATGGTTGTGCAATTTAAAAATCAATGAGAATGGACATGGTAAATTGTAACCCTTTTTATAACTATTTGAAAATAATATACATATGTATTTTAAAAAATCAATAAGCTGGTTAATTATGTGAATTTAAAGTAAAATTATATTGCATTCAGTTGCCAACTTACCGTCTTTAAAACATTTACAAAGGTTCCACTTTCAAAATTCATATTCAGAGTAGTATTTGCATCCATGATTAATAATATTTTTCCAAAAATGCTTCTGAAAAGATTTTTCTCACTTAATAGACAATGAGTGTAAAATAGTTACACACTTAACTCACTGTGGAAGTTTTTGATGATAGCATATATGCAAAGACCACCAGATTCAAATATAACCTTCTGGTCATTGTTATGAATCTCCACAAAACATGGAAAGGGGTAAAACTAGTTTTCATATGCTATTTTTCAGAGTTTGTGATTTCATTCTCTATATTCAAAAAGCCAGAAGTTTTATTAAAACATTGTACCTCTCTAAAATAAGCTATGATCATTCAAGTCATCTTTTTCTTTTCTCTGATACAAAATCTATCTTTGTAGTCCTGGTATGAATTCTCAATCCTCCTGATTTTGCCTCCTGAGTGCATGGATTACAGTACTGTACCATCATTCCTGCTGGTTTAGGAACCATCAAACCTATTCCCTTGTAGATAATTTCCTAC